TTTACATTTGTAAGACAATGGTTCAGTCTAAAAAATTATGAAAATTCAAACCATGCTACATGGTCAGTTGTGTAAAAGAAAACAAATAAAATAACATAAAAAAACTTACGTCGCCTTCTTCAAACACAGGGGGGTGAAGGTACTCCTCTATTTTGGCAAACTCGGAGTTCCTTTACCCCTTTCCCGGATTTGTTAAGGGTTAATCGCACCATTTACATTTTGTAAGACAATGGGTTCAGTCTAAAAAATTATGAAAATTCAAACCATTTCAGGTTCAGATTGAGATCAAGGTTGTGTAAAAGAAAACAAAATTAAAATAACATAAAAAAACTTACGTCCCGCCTTCTTTTCTAACACAGGGGGGTTTGAAAATACTCCTCCTATCTTGGTCTCAAACTCGGAATCCTTTGGTTGTTGCCTTGGATTTGGGTGAAGGCCTTTGGGGAAATTTCGGCGGTTGTTTTGCAATCATCTGAATTCCTGACGAAGGGTGAAGGGTCAATCCAGAATCTTTGCCGGTCCCGTCCGTTTCAGGGTTCAGATTGGAGATGAAGCTTCTGAGTCGGATTCAGAATTCGGAAATCCCCGCTGGGATACAACGACCCTCTTGCTTTTGGTGGTTTCTTGGGCATTTGAGATGCCTTGGCCTTCTTGGGTCTTGCAGGCGGCCACGGTTGAGTCGAGGTTGTGAAGCCGAAGCGGACGATGGCCTTTGGGAAGTTTACGCGTTTGTCTGCAGACGTCTGAGTTGCTGAAGAAGGGGGAAGGGCCCTTGCGAGAATCGTTGCTGGGCCTGACAAAATTAGGGTCATTTTGGACTGGAGTGGTAATCCTCGTCCAATGTTGAGATGGAGGCCGAGATGCTGATGGGGTTCCTGGAGGAGGGGTGTTGGGCTGAGACCTGCAAGCAGGGGTTGAGGAGGTGGCCATGATTGAGTAGAGATTGTGAAACCGTTGTTTCTGGAAGTTGCAGTGTTGTTGGTCCTTGGTGAAGAGTTTGAATCACTATTCTATGTCTGAAAAAAAAAGTCCAATGATATGTCAGTTGAGATTGATCTGACATTTGATTGAATGATTAAAAATAGTAATCCATTCAATAAGAAAAATAAATAAAAAAACAAATACTCACCTCACACTAGAGACAACCCTGAATAAATGGGAAAAGAAACAAATGATGTCAGTGATGAACCATAAAAAAATAGTGAAGAACCAATAAATCATAATGATAATAGAAAAATTAATTAAGAAAAAGAAATAAAACAAAATAAATACTCACCTGACAATAGACAAAAACCTAAATGAATGGTCAAAAAAGCAAAAGTGGTCAGTGATGAACCATAAAAAATTGGTGATGAACCAATAAATAATAATCACAAGGAGAAACACACCTGACAGTACACTTCAAAGGGCAATCTAAAGAAACAACTGAAAAGAAAGTGAAAGTAAAAGTCAGTGGACTGGACAAGAGACCAAAAAAAATTGAACAAAAATGACAGATCCGATCCGATACCCGATACCGGATCGTATCGTATCGATGACTCACCTCAGGCCCTGACTAGCTGTCTTGCACAACGAGAGAAACAAATGAAAGTGGTCGGGGGCGGATACCAAGTCGAGCCCACGACTCCAAGAGCAACGACAGCGGCAGCGGCTGCGGCTTGTCCTGCAAAACACCGACTAATCGGAGGGCAGGCTGGGAACGACGAGTGGCGGAGGCCGGGCGGTGTCCGTTCGAGTCCGAGTACGACCCGACGTTTGAAGGGTGAAGCGACGAGGGTGGGGGGTCGCCAGATCAAGTATCCAGCGACGAAGCGGAGGGCAGGGGCCGGGAACGACGAGTGGGGGAGGCCGGGCGGTGTCCGATCGATTCCGAGTCCGACCTGACGCCTGGTGAACAATGAAGCGACGAGGGGGGGGGGTCGTCAGATTTGACACAGACGAAGCGGAGGGACGGGAACTTCAACGACAACTCACGAGTGGGGGAGGCCGGGCGATCTCTGTTTGAGTCCGAGTCCGACCCGACGATGGATGGGTGAAGCGACGAGGGGGGGGGTCGGTCGTCAGATTTGAGCCGAGGTGAGGACGCTGACGATCGATGGGGGGGGGGGGGGGGTAGTGATGGGGTGGTGGGAATATGTAGGACTGGGAGTCGGACTGGAGGGGTGGTGGGGTGGGGTATGAGAATAGCAGTATACCGTCGGAAATGAAGACCGACCCGGTCCCAAATTGTTGAGTTTTCACCTCTTCTTCCTACTCTTCCCCAAAATCAGTCCCTCTTTCCTTCACTTTTTTCTTCTCTAGCGATCTTCCTGAAATAGACTGAATTATAGTTCTCCATGG